GTGTGGGGGGGGGTCTCGCCTTCTAACCCCCCCAGCCTGTTGTTGCGGCTGCTTCCTCCATCCTCCCAGACAGAAACTAAACTAACTCTCCTCCAGCCTTGCCCCCCAGCCAGGGCAGCATCCACCTTCCTTTGTTCCTCTCCATGGGGGTTAGCTGGTCGGACAGGTTGAGACACCCTCTTTGCATAGTGACTCATCGCCTGTCTTGCTCGGTGGTGCTACAGACAGTGGCCAGTGAGTTAGCAAGTTCCCCCCCACTATGTCACAATCCCATCCTGCATCAGGCCCCCCAGGTAATCCCCTGGGCTACCCTGGGCTCTGTGGGTTCTGTCCACAGCCTGGTTGAGGCAGCTGCCACAAGGACACCCAAAGCACAGGGCCTGAGATGGCCATCCCAAATAAGCAACTAATTGACCAGTCAACTATCTGATAAGCAAAAGCCTCTCGGATAGTCGACACACTAGTCGACTAGTCGCTGCCCCCTCCTCTTGCTGCCTCTATCGGAAAGAGGCAGCAAGGGGAGGGAGAAGCAAAGGAGGTGCTGGGGGGAGACGGTTGCCTCCAGCTGCGTGGGAGGGGGCAGGGGTGCAGTGGCAACGTTCCAACTTTGAAATGTACAAGAGTCCCTGCAACACCAGCCCCACGTGGGGAGAGGGCTCAGAAGAGCAGTTCCGGTTGGGCTGGCCCCACAGAGGCTGGCAAAAGTGGGGTCAGGCCGTCCTGCTTCTGGGGAAAGCAAGGGATCCTGATCTGGCCCCTGGGATGTCTTATTTTTTCCTTTGGGAAAATACGGTCACCCTAATACAGCAACACTTGTCTCCTGCACAGGAAAGTTTCAAAACTGGATTACATCAATGTTCCACTGTGAAGTGTGGAAAGAATCATAACGTTTTGTTCAGTTATGAACATTTCAGAGTTACAAAGACCCTCCTTTCCCAAGGTGTTTGTAATGCTGAGGTTCTACTGTGTGAGCACCTGCGTTTACAGGATCGCCCCAAGGGGGCTGCTCCTAAACAGAACAATGCATATTCTCAGGTGGAAACTACTCCTGGTCTTTGCTGTGCACATTTTCCCCACAGGAGTTCATGCAAAAGGCAAAATAAATAAATATACAAACCCGTGGGTCCCATAGACAGAGCTACATCTCCTAAGAGCCTATAGTCCCAGATGCTGCTGCCAGACTTGGAACAGACAGGGTTGCCCTACCGCCCCGTGACCTACTACAGGATAATCACTTGTGGCTATGTCTAGACGGGCATGATTTTCTGCAAATGCTTTTAATGGAAAAGTTTTTCCGTTAAAAGCATTTGCGGAAAAGAGCATCTAGATTGGCACGGATGCTTTTCCGCAAAAGCACTTTTTGCGAAAAAGCGTCCGTGCCAATCTAGATGCGGTTTTGCACAAGAAAGACCCGATCGCCATTTTCACCATCGGGGCTTTTTTGCGTAAAACAGTTTTTAGCTGTCTACACTGGCCCTCTTGCGCAAAAACACTTCTGGAAAAGGGATTTTGCCCGAACGGGAACGTCAAAGCATTTGCGCAAGAAGCACTGATTTCGGACAGTAGAACGTCAGTGCTTTTGCCCAAAATCAAGCGGCTAGTGTAGACATCTGGCAAGTTTTTGCGCAAAAGCAAATGCTTTTGCAGGAAAACTTGCCAGTCTAGACGCAGCCTTGTCAGTTACTGCTTCTGTAAAATGGAGATCCGGATAGCACAAAGGACTGTGAGATCTGCAGGGCAACAGCAAGGCATTAGTTTCCCCCTTCAAAAAGAAAAAAAGATGTCAGTCAAGTTGCAAAAGCTCCAAAGGGGAGTCAAACAAAGTCTATCCCCGTTCATTACATTGGTAATGAAAATAGTTTAAACTGCTTCTGGAACGCACAAAGGGGCTAAAAAAAGGGTTTTCTCCCCATACACAAATCTCCCAGGATTCCTTCTAGAGTAGGACACACACTGCACTACAACTCCCAGGATCCTGTACGAGCCATGTGATTTTTTTTTCTCTAGCTTTGCAAGTGACCTATATTGAAACACCCACCGCAATTTACCAAAGTGCTGAGTTTCCTGAAGCGCAGCAATTGTACCTCGGGGTCGGGCTCACTTTACAAACTCCCTCCCTTTCTGGGTTTGTGACACAGCACAGGAGACATAAAGACGCCAGCACGATGCAAGTAAGTACATTTCCGATCGGAGGGTTGTAAATCTGCCGGGACTGTAAACTACAGGTTGGAGTCAGCGGATACACACCGGGCTTCCCTTCAAGTGCAACTGACACATTCGGGGCATTTCGTTAACAACCCGAACGCAGGGGGCTGCCCATGGGAAAGGTTACATTTTGCGCAGAGGTGGCTCTGCTGTGATCTGCCCATTTATCCAGGGGCAGTGCAGGATGTGGTGGATACAGTAACTTTCTTAGGGACAGCACGAGGCAGTGAGTCCCTGCTCAAGTGAATGTTTCCCCTGCTCCCACCCAATGGAGGGGAGGGCTCTGGGGGTTGAGCTTTCTGACTGGAAAATGTCACATCTCAGAGGGCCACATTAAGCTAAAAATTATCTTCTCAATCGTCCCCCTTGGCCTGCGGCTGTGCCGTTGCAAGAAGTAATTGCCTGAGGACCGTGCTCAGCAGACAGACTGATGGAAATAAATCCCCTTTGATGGAGAGGGCGGGGTACTTGGTAACGTCTACTACCCCCAGCCCCATTTTGTAGGCATGGTAGTCAATAGCTCTGCCTGGAGTCTGGGATTGTAGAAGTACAGCCCCTAGCGCAGTTGCTTGCAGCTCCCAGCTGTTCTGTCTTCTCCACCTCACTTTGCTTCTCTCCACCTCTGTGCTCCAGCGGCCCTTTCTATGAGAGGTACTCGGCCAATCTAACCATGGTTGAGCATAACTCAGACTAACCACTGATCTAAAGCAGCTAGTTTGAGAACCACAGATCAAGGGTGTGGGGGGGAGGTCAACGTTTTTTAAAGTCCGAGATAAGTTGATGATGTTGGGCCGTTTTGGCCAAAGATCACGGATTTCCTCAACATTTTCATTTTTCTGATGAAACCTTTTGCCATTTGCCACTTGCAGTGTTCTTTCTACTCCTCCCCACCTTTTTCCAAAGGTTGATTTAGGCTAGACCCACCTACATACAGAGTTCTGCCCACGAACTATGCCAGTCAGGGTGGAAAGACGTGATCCCTAACCAACATAGGTAAGCTAGCAAAAGCCCCTCTGCTGACAAAGCTACGTTTTGGCTGGCGTCGCTTGTTTTGCTCAGGCAGGGTGATTTTAGGGTACCAGAATCAGAAAAGTGTAATACTGGAAAGGACCTCAAGAGATCACGTAGTCCAACCTGCTGCACTGAGACAGGACCAGGTATAATGAAATGAGACCATTCCTGACAGATGTTTGTCTAACCTTTTCTCAAAATCCTCCAGTGACATTGGTTCCCAAATCTCCCTTGGAAGCCTATTCCAGTGTTTGGCTGTCCTTACAGGAAGAAAGTTTCACTGTACTGGTACAAAGCCCAGCTTTGCTATATCTACATGTAAACCAGGAGTTTTGTGCCAGGACAGTATCCTGGTATTTCTATTCCAGGAAAGCACTCCTGGTGTGCACTGGACAGCATTTTAGCAAATGATCAGCTTTCCTGGTTAGGACACAGTAAGGCTACGTCTACACTGGCCCCTCTTCCGGAAGGGGCATGTAAATTTCACGAGTCGTCGTAGGGAAATCCGCGGGGGATTTAAATATCCCCGCGGCATTTAAATAAAAATGTCCGCCGCTTTTTTCCGGCTTTTAAAAAAGCCGGAAAAGAGCGTCTAGACTGGCCCCGATCCTCCGGAAAAAGTGCCCTTTTCCGGAGGAAGGGCCTCCGGAAAAGGGCGCTTTTTCCGGAGGATCGGGGCCAGTCTAGACGCTCTTTTCCGGCTTTTTTAAAAGCCGGAAAAAAGCGGCGGACATTTTTATTTAAATGCCGCGGGGGATATTTAAATCCCCCGCGGATTTCCCTACGACGACTCGTGAAATTTACATGCCCCTTCCGGAAGAGGGGCCAGTGTAGACGTAGCCTAACAGAATCACTGAAGTTGGAAGATAAGGATCTAAACTAAAGTTATGTACATCTTCAGGATTTTCCCCTGCATTCAACCGAGTGTCTAATCGAATTAGAAATTAGTCTTGGGGCTTCTGACACTTCTCACAGAAAAACACTGACATTCTGAGTCACTTCCAGTAATAGAATTTGTTCTTTTTAATTATTGCTACTTTTCCTCATGTTTGTGAGAATCTGACTCCCGCCCTTATCCAGAGGCCACTGAAGTTGTAAAGACTCCCAATCGCCAGTAAAAATAACAAGGAGTCCTGTGGCACCTTAAAGACTAACACATTTTGTTGGACATCAGCTTTCATGGGCAAAGACCCACTTTGTTGGATGCTTCTGGCTGGTATATCTGTTTGCGGAGCTGTTCTGGATGCCACAGTTCAGCATTCTCCCTAAGAAATGAAGTGCATTAAAATTTAATTTTAATTAGTGAAGTTGATCATCAGATGTATTAGCTTACTGAGGCACAGTTCAGCTGTCTGATCATTTAATCCATAGACCACGAGTAGAGCGAATGCAAGGTGATGATCAGATGCAGAGCTTGAAAAAACAGGAACGAAAAGTGACTCATGATAGCACTTGGGAAGTGTGTTGCTCCCTTTGCCTCCACCAACAATTAATTGCTAAATGGGGTTGCACTTCTCAGCCCTCCGGGTGGCCCTCCCTGCACCCCCTCTCCCCACAGCACCTGTTACCCCAACACAAGCTGCCCAAGTTCAAATCCAAAATCTAGTCTGATTTCCCCAGCTGTCGGGGGGTGTTTGGATCCAGAGTTTTGTTTTCAGGCTCATTTCTAGCAACCACAGATGTTTACCTACCATAGTCCAGTGGGAGTTAGGCACCTAACTACCTTTGAGGACCTGGGCCAGTATAGGTCAGTGACTCACCCTTCTGTAACTTCCACTCCAGCTCATCGGATGAAGTGGGTTTATCCCACGACAGCTGATGCCCTAATAAATCTGTTAGTCTCCAAGGGTATGTCTACACTACCCCGCTAGTTCGAACTAGCGGGGGTAATGTAGTCATCCGCAGTTGCAAATGAAGCCCGGGATTTGAATTTCCCGGGCTTCATTTGCATGAAGCCGGCCGGCGCCATTTTTAAATGCCGGCTAGTTCGACCCCCTGCCACGCGGCTACACGCGGCACGGAGTAGCTAGTTCGGATTAGGCTTCCTAATCCGAACTAGCTGTACTCCTCGTTCCATGAGGAGTACAGCTAGTTCAGATTAGAAGCCTAATCAGCTAGTCTGAAGCCTAATCCGAACTAGCTACTCCATGCTGCGTGTAGCCGCGCAGCACAGGGTTCGAACTAGCCGGCATTTAAAAATGGCGCCGGCCGGCTTCATGCAAATGAAGCCCGGGAAATTCAAATCCTGGGCTTCATTTGCAACTGCGGATGACTACATTACCCCCGCTAGTTCGAACTAGCGGGGTAGTGTAGACATACCCCAAGGTGCTACAGGTCTCCGCATTCTTTTCCCCATAGCTAGCGAAGCTTTTGGGCTTTAGGATTACCTCCATCTACCTGAAATCGAATGTAGTCCTTCAACAGCAGTTTGAGGTAGCAGGTTATTACTTTAGCCCAATGCCTCACCTCCTATGACATCATGTTACAATGTGTTTTAATCATTGTACTTGCTTTTCTATCGCACTTTTCATCCCTGGTTCTCACAATGCTTCAGAAAACCAAGACACACCATGGTTAGCCCCATTTTACAGATGGGAAAACTGAGGCACTGAACAATGACAACTTGCCCCAAATCACTTTGGTGGTCAGTGATTAAACCAAGGTTAGGACTCAGGTTTTTGACTCACAGACAAGATCCCTGTCCACCGCACCGTGCTGCCTCCACACTGTTTTGAAATGGGATCCATGAGATAAACACAATGTATCTAAAACCTGTTTGACAGCCACTGGAGCGTTTTGTTTTTAAATAACATTAGAGCAGGAGGATGACAATCGGGATTATTTCTAGGTCTTTCTGCTGACTTTGTGGCTTGACCTTTGGCAAGTCATTTAACTTCTGTTCACTGACCCAGCCGTAAAAAAAAGGAATGATAACATCTTAATTGCTTTAAAGTTCTTTGGGATCCCCAGCTGAAAGCTGCCATGTAAATGCAAAGTATTATTATTTAAAAGCTGACGCATTGACCTTAAACCCCCTTTACCATAATGTGGGCATTTCCCCTAAGAGAATTTCTACATAGGAAAATGTTTTTCTAGTTCCTTTTTCTCCATGTGATTTGGCTGAGGGTTTTCATTACAATTAAGGCGATGACTTGTAAACAGGACTGACTTCCGTATCGATGGGTGTAACACACTTCTGTGGGTGTGAGGAGTGGGAAAGTGAGGCGACTGACCATTGCTTTGGTCAGGCTTTTGGCTTTGGGCTCTGGGGTGCCACCCCTAGAGTAGAAAACACAGTACTTCTTTTTAAATTGCTTCCACAGGTTGAAACCTTGCTTAAAGCTGGTTTAGCTTAAATTGGCGAGGCTTAAACTGGCTTAAGTGTGTGCATTCGACTGGTGAAACTAAACTGATTTTAAATTGATTTTCATAGAATCATAGAACTGGACGAGACCTCTAGGCAGGACCAATTCCAACTAAATCAACCCGGCCAGGGCTTTGTCAAGCCGAGACTTAAACACCTCTAGGGATGGAGACTCCACTACTTCCCTAGGTAACCCATTCCAGTGCTTCACCACCCTCCTAGGGAAATAGTTTTTCCTAATATCCAACCTGGACCTCTCCCACCACAACTTGAGCCCATTGCTCCTTGTTCTGCCATCTGTCACCACTGAGAACAGCCTCTCCCCATCCTCCTTGGAACCTCCCTTCAGGGAGTTGAAGGCTGCTATCAAATCCCCCCTCACTCTTCGCTTCTGCAGACTAAACAGACCCAAGTCCCAACTAAACAGACCCATGTCTTCACAGCACAATAGCCACCGTGAAGGAACCACAAAGCAGCCACAGAGGCACCTGGGAAATCCAGCCAATGCAGGGGGGACAACCCAGCAGGCATAGCCACACCTAGAAGAGCCCCAGCTTTCAGGACGGAATCTTGGCAGGGCATTCCTAAACC